CAGACTTCAGTAACATCAGGTAAAGTAATATCCTTTTCCACAAGTATTCTGGCCACCGAGGGTCTGGTTATGTTGAAAGTAGGCAGATCTAATTTTAAAGGATCCCCAAGGATGGCCCCAATAGAGTAGAGAACCTGATGGTGAAAAAAATGCAGCTTGATACCAGGTAAACTAAACCATACCGGTACAGTGGGAGTTTCACAATTTGGGTCGAAATTAGGATACCACTTGAGTAACTTCATTGATTTGTCTTCGATATTAAGATATTCTTGGAGAAAATTCTGGTGTAGTCTTCAATCACTGTTAGTTGGATCAACACATGTCTCATATCCACGAGTCTCACTTTCCACTTACCTACTAGCTTAAAATCATCAACAATCTTTCTGATAACATCCATATGAGGGTGTCCCCACTGAAATTTTCTAATAAGAGCAAATTTGAATTTTTTCGTCATGGTAAAAATTTCTAATTCAGAGAAAAAGATTGCATCTTTTCCACATTTCCTACTTCCCTTTTTAATAAAAGGACAATCATCTGTACCCTCACATATATATAATATCTACAAAATTTTCAAACTTTTTGAGAGATTAATTTAATACAATCACTCGAAATGGTTAGGATATGAATATACTTAATAAAGTAAGTTATTATGTTTCCTAAGTTATCGAAAGAGATAATGAGAAAAATTTGTTCTCGATTGACAACTTAAATTGAACATTAATTACATTTATTCTTAGATTCACTATAGGAGAATCTTCAATCCAAAGTATTGTCAATTAATAGATAATCTAAAATATATTTTGTGTCGTGTGGCTTACAAATATTTTCTTCAAACAATCAATTTTAAATTAGTTAGATAAAATAACAATAAAAAATTAGTATTTAACTTAACATCAATTTTTAATTTGATCCTCCCGGGAATGAAACTTTATTCATTAATATATTGCATGACACGACACGTGCACTCCATATACCGCAAAGTTGTGGTGATCTTGTTTTAGAGACCAATTGAAGATCCTGAACATTCTGGAAAATCATGAAAAATCCTCATAATTGTTATATAATATTTATTGACAATTACAAGAATTTCTAACAATTTACTGTCATCCAAAGTTGCTCGCCAAAGCCTAAAACCCAAAAATATCATTTTCAAACAAGGTAAAATTTTAGAATGCCTTGTTTTTGAAAATCTATAAAACATACTTCACATTTTTTAGAAAGTAGAAATTTTTTTTACAATACATCTAGACTCGTCCTTCTAAAAACTCCAAATAATTACAAGCAAAGTGAACCTTCCATTCCCCTACAATTGGGAGGGTCAACCACAGGCCAAATCACAAACCATAAAAGTTTTCTCTAAATAATATGGGCATATCTACTTTCTTTAATCTTCGCCAATTACTAAGTTTAAGCCAAGATCTCCTATACCAAAAATCATCATGTGTGATTACGCAAAAACAAATGATCATATGAATGCCTTAATGTTCAAAATAGAAATCTACAAATCGTGGTTTGTGGATTCTAGAGCCTCTGATCATATACCAACAGATGCGCCATTATTTCAAACTCTTCACATTTATTTGAAAGATAATACAAATAGAATTAAATTAGAAGTACTTAGCATTAAATATAACAAAATCTTTAGTTCTCTGGTTTTGAACTTTCTATCCTATTATTTCCTAAGCTTTGCCACAATTTACTATCAATCAGCAAGATTATTAAGGATTTATATTGCAATACTAATTTCCTCGCTACTCATTGTGAATTATAGGATAGAAATTTGAGAAGAATAATTAGCAAAACAAAGAAATGTTTGCTCTCTTATTCCTAAACTATGACAGGAATCTTCAAATGTAAGTTAAAAATGCTCAATATGCACCTTCCTCTGACAAAAGAACCATCATGTCGTATTAATTTCAGCTTGGTCATACAAATTCCATATACCTATTAAAATTACATCCTTCTTTCTTGCTGAACACAATCCCTGTGGTGTTCCAATTTGAAAACTTCTAATTGTCTAAACACATTCGAACATCTTGCCCTCGCCATCCGTATAAAGCCTCCCTGCCTTTAGCAACTATTCATAGTGGCATAAGGAACCCATTTTGGGTGAAAAATATATCCAGTGGTAGGTGTTTTATATCTTATGCTGATACCCACACTAAAACAATTTCAATTTTTTGAATAAAAAATAAGTCTGAAATCAATTCCATTTTCCAAAAATTTGGCTCATTAATAAAGGCTCAACTTCAAATTTAAATTAAAGTCCGCCTAATCGACAGTAAGAAAGAATATTTTCGTTATTGAAGAAAATCTCCTACAATTAGGAATTGCCTATAAAATTTTGCATCCATACTCCTCAACAAAATGGCATCGCATGCAATAAAGATAAAAATTTTCTAGAGATTGCTAAATCAATTGTGATTACTAACAACATCCCAAAATATTATTATAAGAAAACTATCTTCACTAATAAATTCTCATTAATTGTATTTCATCAAGGGTTCTAAAATTCAAAACTTTTGCTCAAAGCATCACCCAAGCCAATCCCAAAAATAGGCTTATCTCAACTAGACCATTCAAAGAGTTTTGTTGCCCTTTCTTTGTTCATATCTCTTCTCATCAAAGGAACAAACTTGACCCAAAAGCCATAAAAAGCATTTTTATTAGTTATTTTCCTCGTTAACAAGACTATAACAATTATTCTCTTAATACTAAGCATAATGTGAGTTTAGTTAGCTTGGAAGAGATGAAAGTTTTTATTATACCCCCATGGATGTACTTTACTTTGAATGTTAACCATTTTCCAAACTCACATTATGAGGGAGAAAATCAATTCTCTACAGTATTTGAGTTTTGTGATATTAACAATTCTATCTTATTAGTCTCTCAACTTTCATCTCTTCCAAGCCAACTAAAATCTTAACCATCAATATTGAAGCTTTCGAAGAACACATCCAACAAGTAATATACAAAGGAGTTGTCTATTCCATAAATTAAGAAATTTCAGCCAACAAAGTAGAAAAAAGCATTTCTCTTCAATCAAACCTAATGTCCAACCTAAGTCCTAGCATTGATTCACATGAACGAGATAATTTTCCAAAACTCACACTATTGCTCTCGTTCAAATTAGCCAATGAATCATTATATCTCTTATGACAAATTATCCCACAAGTTATATGGCTTTACTACAAATCATTATAGCTTAAATTTTCTAAACAATAGTCAAGAATTATTAAAAGTTTCTGAATGGAGAAATATAATTTGTGAAAAAAATTAAGCTTATCAAAGAAATGGTAATTTTAAGCTTTCAAATCAACCCAAAGGGAAAAAAAGCAATTAAATGTAAATGGATTTTAAACATGAAATACAAAGATGACAAAAGTATTAACCAATACAAAGACTAGAAGTATGTGGGGTTTCACTAAACCTTGTTCTAGTTGCTAAGATGAACACTAGATGTAGAATTTTCCTCTCGTTGTAAATTTAGATTGATATCTCCATCAACTAGAAGAAATTTGTTCATAAATAAAATTTTAAAATATGAGGTTTGTAATGCCATCTCCCCTAAATTTAAGAGTAAGAGCAATATGAATTAACTTCACAGTCACAAGAAATCATTATATGGCTTGAAACAATTACCAAGATCTTCATTTAACATATTCACTAAGATGCTTAAAAGACATGGCTACATTCTTTGAAAGTCTTTTTTTTCTCCTAAGGCATGGCTACATTCAAAGAGTGTCTTATCACACCTTATTTGCCTAGAAATCATTTAAAAGAAAAATCTTCATCATAATCGTATATGTTAATGATATCATCATGATAGGAGACCACAAAGAAGATATAATCTAAAACGTGTCCTTGCTAAAAAAAATTTAAAATCCAAGACCTTAGTTCACTAAAATATTTCTTAGATATAGAAATAGCAAGCTCACCCAAAGGAGTACATGGTTTGCAACAAAAATAATCCCTAGACTAATAAAGAAAACTAGTATGCATGAGAAAACTAGTATGCATGGCCTAAACCAGCAAACAAACCAATAAATACTCGAATAAAATTGGGACTCAATCTTGATTGACAAAAGAAAACACCAAAAATTAGTATAAGAACTCATCTATCTACCCCCCACAATAAACATGGTACATATTTTCCTATTAGTATTGTTAATGAGTTTATGAATGACCCCACAAAGGAATGCAATAATGTTATGCATAAGATATTGAGGTATCTTAAAAAGATTCCTTAAAAGGGTTGTTCTTAGTAACGGGAACTACAACAGGTATAGCTTCGCTAATGTTGATTGGCTCAAATCTGAAACAGATTATAGATCTACATTGGGTTATTTTTCATTCATAAAAAAAGACTTAATTATATGGCAAAGCAAAAGGCAATTTTTCATTGCTTTTAGCCCACAATATTTCTACCAATAAATTTGCATAAACATCTTCTCGAGCAATTAAAATTTTCACTAAAAACTTATGAAAATGAGATTTAAGAACTAGCATACTTAGCATTGCTAAGATCCTTGTTCACCATTATCGGACCAATTAAGTCAAAATTGATACACTTTATAAAGGAAAAAATTGATCAAGGAATAATCTAATAAATTATACTCAAAGCTTTAGTTAATTACATCAAATCTAAAGCTCTAAATCAACTACAATTTGCAATCTTAACTTCAAGCTAGAAAGAATTAAGATATATTCCAGCTTAGGGGAGAAAGTGAAAATTTTGCAATTAAAACTTCTCTACTTCAAACTCTGATTTCCTAAAATACCCACCAATCAACACACTTGCCAGCTCCAACTGCCATACAAGGTTTCCAGCAATCAGGTCTCTGTCCTCACTGCCAAACCACGATCCAAGTGCCTGCTAGTTCTTTTGTATACATCCACAAGATCAGATGCTCCCATTTCAGTAATTTGCAGGGTGTTTGCTATCCATATGCAATCTCTCAGTGCTTTATAAACAATATATCTATTTTTAGCTTCATTTTAAATTATCTAGGGTGAATCTTCCTTCATTTTTCCATCATATAGCCAATAATGTGCCTATTCTAGTTTGTAATAAGGAAAAAAAAGAGTATTCTTCCCTCATACTTTTCAACAAGGTTACTATCACTCTTCTTCCATTTTGGCACAATAAATAGTACTTACTTGAAGAACAGGTACAATGGTTCAATTTCCTTTTTGTCGCAGAAATCTGAGCCAGAAAATGAAAAATTGAACTAACTATAAATATTGCAAGGCTACCTGCAAACCATTGAAAACAGAGTCCTGTCTCTCCTTTCCAGGAAGTGCAAACTTGATATCTACATGTATTTCTTCATGGGCATCTGACAAGAACGAAACAAATTAGTAGAAATTAGAAAAAGCAAATCATTAAATGCTTTGCCAAGAACAAAACAATGGCATTCACATGAACAGTTGCACAATCGACCAGATAAAATGATTTGTAAACCAAACAAGTAGCTTCATTTCAAGAGATTCACGTACCCTCAAATACATCCTTGTAGAATGGGTCGCATACTACAATTATTTCTTTCACTTCACTTAACTCAGAAAAAGTGTAAAAACTGCAAAGAAAAATTTCCATGGTTACTTTACATAAGAAGTGGACCATTTCAATAAAAAAACATTTCAACGAACAAAATCACTTTTGCATCCATACCTATAAAGGGCAATTGGTTTCCCTAAGATAGGAAGGTACTGCTTTGGTATACTTACCTGTAACATTGGCGAAATATAATGTTCAAAATGATGCCATATAAAGCATAACAAATGCTATAATGACAATAGTATTGCTATGATTTTGTATGCAACTACATTTACCCTCCTAAAAGATACTACCGCTAATTAAGTTGACATAACTACATAAGCTACATAGTCAACAAGGAATCCAAATACAAGCATAATAAGCATTGCTAGCCTTACTTGCGTCAGTTATAGCATATCATCATCATCATCATCATTAGCCTTAAAACAACTATTTAGAATTCAATTTTATGAATTCTCTTCCTCCATTGATCATTGTTGCATGTTGCATGAGATTTTAAAACAATTATTTGCAAATCTTCTTCCAAAACTCCTTAAAGGTGCCATCTTTTCTTTCTACTCCATATATTAACGTCTTGTCCATCTATGAAACAACCTTTTAGCTGACAACAAAAAATTATTCTTTTGACGCTCATGACTTAAATTAGATGTTCCTCATCACCTCAAATACAGAAATTAGGCAGGTAATTATTTATCCAAACAAGAACAAAGAGAGGAGCAAGCATTTGCAATAGAGATTTGAGAGAATGTGAGAATAAATAGTGAAATGAAATAAAAGTGGGATATCAAGAAAGAATGAAAGATAGAAGGTGCATTGGAGAGTTAAAGAGGGAGAAGAGGGAGCAAATGAGTGGACAGACGAGCAAGAGACTGAACATGTCACCAATTTTTAGTATTCATTGGCAGCAACATTTTTGTGCTAAAAAATTCAATGCCACGGATTCTCTTCAATTCGCTTACTCAGTATTTTAGTAATAGTCAGGGACACCAGCTAACACGGGGCCTTGGAACTAAACCGGCCCCAACCCGTTCAGCAGAAGATGGCACTCAGTCCAACACGAGGCTGGATCGGCCCCCTCCTTCCTCTTTTTATTGGGCGGGAATTATTCCTCCTTCCTATTTTCGTTTCGCCTATCCATTTTATATTTATATATGTGTTTGTTGTCCTAGAGTTTAGTTTTTGTCTTTCTGATTTCAGAATTCTGTCCAGCTTGCCGTTGGCGGCTGTTTTTCTTTCTAATGTTGTATCTGAAGGCGAGAGGGTGCTTCAGCTGTAACTCGTAGAAGGTGGAGATTTTCTCCAAGGATTAGAGGGGTGCTCCGGCTGTAACTCGCTCTCGCGGGGATAATTATCTTTCCCTTTTCATCCCACCTGATCGTTGTCCCTCTCTGCAATCCCTTTCCCCTGATTCTAGCTACCAGCCAAATCCATCCCGTGATCCTAGCCACAAGCCACTTCACCTTTTCTCCAACTGCCGCTAGCACCTAATCTATCAGCTTCCCAGCCGCTGATCTCATTCCAACCTCCCCTACAGCCACTAAAACATCCCCTTACCTCTCCCTTTATTACCAGCAGCCCACCAGTCTCAACCTCATGACCCCTTGCAGTCTCCTGGACCGCCTTCCTCCTAAGCCCCTACCCTGCTCCATCTGCAAACCTACTCCTCCCTCCCGTAAGTGCCAACAGATTCCACTGTAGCATCCTCCAACCTAGCCACCAGCCCCTGCAACTCCTTGCACCTACTTTCCAGGTGCTGCCCAAAGCCACTTCCAACTCTCTCGCCCGCACAACAACCTCCAATTAAGACCCCTACATATTGTCCAGCCGCCAGCCACGACCATCATCCTCGCACTTGGGCATCTTTCTAGATATTTTATCGTTTATTTCCTGTTTTGAAGAGTCATCGTTGTAACTTATTGAAATTTTAGCAATAAAACTTGCATTCCTATTGCGGTTTGGGTTAACTCGGGTATCAATTGTTATCAGAGCTAGTCTAACTCTAGTCATATCCTAGGCTTTCCTTGCATCCGCACTTACCCAAGTTACTTCCACCAAAAAATGTCTTTCCTATTTTCAAATCATAGCCAAATTTTGACCTAACCCTATTTTTTCGTATTAATTTTAAAAATCAGTAACCCTAAACCAATTTTTACACCATCTTCACCTCCCAACTTTGAACCCAAGCCATGCCACCAAAGAGATACATGCCCGAGCCTACCCGGAAAGAGATACAATTTGTCGACGACAACGGAGGCTTGTGGACATTGAGTATGAAACCAAGGGGGCTTTGTCGGCGCTTAAAAAAGGAAAAAGTTAATGTTTGGGGGTCGCCCGTAAGAAGCTGTCGGTCGCCGGAATCGAAATCCCGTCGCCCGCTTCGGAAGGACTTTTTAATTTACGTATATATATATAATTTTAGAAAAATATGAAATCAAACTGACCTCATAT